AAGTATGATATAGGCCAAGCAACAAGTCAACTCACGACATGGCGACTCTCAAAATGACCGGCCTGCCCGCCATGAGGCGGCAACACCTACTGGCCGAGTTGTATGTTTTTGCCCCTTATCGTAACAACACAAGTGTTCCTCACTAACCATCTCACAGCTCAGGTCTCAAACAAGTCTGCCCAGACGGCGTCTTCGTAAGCCTAACGCCAGGCGACCCAATGCTCTGGTCCGGCGTCATCTTTGTACGAAAGGGTACCGCACCTCCCCCGCTCTCTATCCACATATCAGCTAACACAGCCCACTCAGGCCCCTACGCCCCGGCAATCCTCCGCTTCCACATCTCCTTCCCGGACACCTACCCCCAACTTCCGCCTCTAGTGACCTTCAGCACCGACATCTTCCACCCCTTGATCACGCCGCTGACGACCTACGTCCACACGACCTCCGACATGACCGACTCCGGCGGCACCGTCAGCGCGACGGACGAGGAGCGGCTGCCGCCAGGGGGTTTCAGCTTGCGCCACGGGTTTCCCGCTTGGTTCGGGCGGGGAGGTCGCAGTAGGCAGACGAGCGGACAGTTTTCCGGTACACCGCCGCCGTTGCCGCCTCGGGGCAGTCACCAGTCTACGCCCGAGAGTAAGCGGACTGCCGTGGAAGAGGGTAGTAGTCCGTCGGGCTTGCTCTTCGCGCAGTCGGAAGCGACGCACCCGGCGCCGAGCATATCGACCTACGACGTTCTAACCTACCTATCATCCACCTTCTCCGACGAGTCGGTGCTGGACTCCATTCCCCTCGAAGCGGCGGGGAACCCGGGCGCCTGGCACGCCTGGCGGTCCCGACAGCGAGGCAAAGGCCGTGGTAACCCGGTAGTGGATGTCAAGGGCGACGTGAAGAAGTTCGAGGAAGGAGGACCACTGGGAGGGAAGGGTGGAGGATTAACGCTGCCTCGTAAGCCCGGGGAGTGGAACTGGGAAGGCGTGTGGGAGGAGAGGGTGAAGAGGGGCGTGCAGGGGAGCTTGAGCGAGGCGGTGCTGTACGGTGGCGCCGGGCAGGGACAGACGGGAGGGGGAGGTGGAGGGGGAGGAGACGAGGTGATTAACTTTTTGAATTTGGACGAGACGGATGTGGTGGGCGTCAAGGAGAATTTGCTTCGGACGCTGGGGGCTGGGACTAGGGAAACTACGTCTTAGGGAGATGTAGATGCGGGTTGGTAGCGAAGGACGGAAGGCGAGAGGAGTAGGTAACCTGGTGATTAGGGTAAGGTATGGCCTGGTGCCTACCTTGGAGTATCGTGTAGGTTCCTTCTGCTACTGAAGTTACGCTCCTGTGCTTTAATGTCTTGCTACTGACAGCATCCTTGACTTTGCACCTCTGCATCATCGACGCATGTAATAACAGTTTCTATCGGATCATACAGTATTGAAGACTATCATCCCAAGCACAGACATAATGGATACAGACGTCGCCTTACCACGGCCTCTCCAGATCATCAAGCGGGTCGACGGCTCCCAAACACTCAGGCAGGCTAGCCACCAATTAACGATCCGCACAGCAAGCGACAGCTCAGGATACAGCATCAGCACGGACGAGAGCAGTCGAGGCAGCGTACCCGATGTCCTTGGTGAGCTTCCCCTTGTGGTCCCCAAGAAGAGGCAACAGTTCCGCACGATCAATGCTCCTGTCCACTTCCCACATCAGTACCAGCCAGTATCACCACTGCGGTATCCAGAGGACCCTACAGACGAGACAACGCCCAAGGCTCGCAGATCCAACTCATACGAATCTCCGGCTCCAGATCGGATTAACATACCAGCACTGTCCACAAAGGCGAGCCTCCTGTTCCTGAAGCAGAAAGAGAACGTACCACCTCTCGACAGCTGGAATCCAGCTCCGTCCCCAGGATCAAGTCGGATCTCGTCCTCCAACTTTGACATATCAGAGCCCGACGTCAAAGCTCTTACCGCGGGCCCCTGTCTCCTCGTCCCAATGATCACAATAACACCCGAGTACAAGGCGTTGGACGAGGGCGTCACGACGCTGTAGGCAGCAGTCGAGATATCCGCCCAGCTCCAGAATGTTCCCGTGTGGAATCAACAGTCCAACTCATACGGTAACGTCTCTCTCGCCCCCTCTCCCCTCCTTTACAAACTCGCCCACTAACCTCCCTCCTGCTCACAGACATCTTCAACTCCGGCTGCCTCTACAATCTCACTCCCACCCTCCTACCCGTTCCGCAAACCACCATCCTCGAAATCCTCCAAGACTCTTCCGCCCCGACGACGCTCTACCCATCCTCCTGCCTCCTTCTTCTAGTACACATCCAATTCATTCCCTCCTCTTCTTCCCATCCCTCCTCATCCCACCACACCGGTCCCGACCACAGCCACCGCCGCCGGCAGAACTCGGAAGACCTGATGCAGGACCTCGAGTTCACCCTCGGCTGCGGCAGCTCCAGCACGACACCGTACCTCACCGTTTCAGTCTCCTACGGCCACTCCTGCTTTCCCGATACGCCGACCTCGCAGACGAGGCTGGAGACGACGTGCGCGGCGAGCATCGAGTGCCAAGCCGCGGACCCGGACTCGGTGTGGTCGCCCCCCCGCGCTCGCGCTGGGAGAGGTAAAGCGAAAAAGCAGCCGCTGTTTGAGATTGTTGCCGCCCACTGGGGACGGGAGGCGGTTGTTGATGTCGCGCGGCGGATGAGGGGTTGTGTACCCGAGGAGAAGGGGGTGGAGAGGGGTGTTAGGATTGCGAGGACGATGGGAGGGAGGAAGGGGAGGGATGGCGGGGGAGGGGGACTGCAGCCGCCTGTTGTCCCGAAGCGGAAGGCCAGTCTGCGGACGAGCCTGGCGATGAGGCATGCGGGAGACGAGGATGACAGGGAGAATGATAGGGCGAAGAAGATTTGGGGTGAGATCAGGAGGATGTCGTCTGTTGGTAGTGGGAAGTCGGGCGAGGATGGGGCGAGGAACGTGTCCGGTGGAAGCCAGGAGGTTGATAGGAGGCGGCAGGAGATCAAAGACAAGGCGTTGAGGAATAGGCGGAGCGTAGGTGCCGATACGCTGCGGAGTCTGGTGCCCAATGCGCCGCCGGATATGAATGCTGGAACACAGGGTATGGTGAGAAATGGAGAGACCGAGACAACGCCGAAGAGACTCGCGGATGTGCACACGGGCGGCATGAATGAAAGAGGGAACATGGGTAGTAGAGGCGACAGCATAAACTCTCGAGCAAGAGGAAAGGAGAACATGCGCTGGAGTTGGACAGGCTGGTGGCAGTAACTTCAACACAGCACGTACCATAGGTAGACTACAGAGATAGAACATTGACTGAAGGGTATCAACAATCACACATTTCCACTCTTCATCTTCCCCCAAACCGGGTTCCCATCGTCATCAACCTCCGCCCAGAGGAAGAAACTACACCCTTCCTTCCCTGGCACGTTCCCAGCATGGCACATCCAGAAGTACCTCCCCCAGTTCTCCTTTTTCTTCTGCACAACCCTCAACACACAGGGCACACCGCACTTACACCTCGGCGTAAATCGCGGGTGAAACTCAGGCCTGTAGTCCCGATACGTGACGTTGATCCTCCTGTTCCCCGCCAGCGGGTGCGGATCAATCACCTGCGCCGGGGCGATGCTGTGCTTCCACTCCTCCTGCATCTCGGCGTGCATAACCAGCAGCGAGTTATGCGGGAGATGAATGGCTATCTGACCCTCGGCATCCGGGTTGTCGGCGGCTTGCTTCTGTTTCTTCTCATCCTTCTCATCCTTCGGCACCACCCTCCGCACCCGGAACTCCCGCGCCACGCCCAGCGACAGCGACCCGATCACCGCCCGGGGACCGAGGTACGTCAGCTGGTCGCTATGCCACCCCACGCTCTGCTGCGGACCGGCATAGCAATTCACGAACGCCGCGTTGGGCGACCACTCCCGGGGCGACTGGTACCTCAGCTTCTTCCCCCCCGGGTAAATCGTTGCGATCCGTTCGCGGATCTCGGCATTCACCGCTTCCCGGACAAGAGGCTTGACGCGGTCCAGCAAGGGGGTGATGGTGCGCACGTCGGTCAGCCGGGCGCCGTTGTAGACGTACTCGTGCCGCTGGCTGTCGAGCTCGGCGGCCGTGCCAACGTAGAAGCCTGAGGTGTGGGGGGAGGTGACGACCGCGTCGAAGAGCTTGAAGGTGATCTTCTCGAAGGTCTTGGACTCTTCGAGGAGCTCGACGAGGAGGTTGTCCGCTAGTTCCGGGGGGAGGAAGTTGTGAATTATGGTGCAAGGGGTGTGGGCTGCTATGTCTTCTGGGGCAAAGAGGTGGAGGGTCGTCCCCTTTTTGGAGAGGAGGCGGGCCTTCTTCGGTGACTGAGGGGGCAGTCCTGGTGTTGACGACGTAGCGAAGTGTTTCAGAGATGTTTGCGTGCCCATGACGCCGCCGGATGATCGCTGTTTCTTTGCCACGCTGGTGGAGGAGGTGAGCGAGGCGGAGGCTGCTGAGACGGAGCCGTCGTGGGCGAGCAGCATGTCGAGGAGTATCTCTTGCTCTAGCTCCGGATGAAGTGAGGAGAGCAGGGCCAGCTTGACCTCGGTAGGCTCGTCGTCATCCTCATCACTGCGAGAACCTGGCATCTGCTCTTGGGCGGGTGGACTGAGCTTCCGCTTCTTCCTGGCTAGGAAGGCTTCCATTGTGGTTAGGTTGGTTCGCGGTGATTCCAAGATATGTCGCGAAGGCCAAGCCGCTGACTATGTGGGATGTGTCGCAACCACATGTTTCGCCCTATTGTCATTCGGTGCGGTCTGTCAGACGGGGAAGAGTTGCAAGTTCTGGAGTCGCCACCACCAATGACACAACGCGAAACGGACGCGCTGCACGTGACCATTATGGCGAAGTGTGGAGTCCGCGCCGGGACGCTGCCGAAAATTTATCCGCATGTCGAGAAGGGATTTTCTCCTTGCAGAGTCCACAAGCCCCAATAACGGCCCCGGATCTCATCAATCGAATGCAGGACAGATGGCCGAGCGGTCTAAGGCGCTACGTTCAGGCGTTTGTCGGGTTTCTATCCGACATCCCCCAGTTTCGTAGTCTCGCAAGAGGCGTGGGTTCGAATCCCACTCTGTTCACGTTTCTATGTTTATCGGGTATGGTGTAGCGGTAACATCGATGACTCTCACTCATCAGCCCGGGGTTCGACTCCCCGTATCCGAGATTCTTTTTGCTTCCACGAGGATGTGGAATCTGGGTTGCATTTTCTTTTGGCTATCAAAACACTGCCTGCCTGCCGCTTGCTCTATGAACTCCATTTGCTTGCCTGCCTGTCCTTTCGTTTCATTAGGGGAACCAGCCTCATACCATGGACTGTCACGACACTGTTAGTTCTCCCACACTGACGAAAAGAAAAATGCAATCAAATCAACCCGCTCATACCAGATTCCTGAAGTTGCGGATCACGTTCCCCGGCTTCTTCTTGTCGTCCTTCTTGCCTTCACTCTTTCTCTGTTCCTTGCGCAAGTTGTTCTGCACGCCGCCTGCTATCTCGGTCAGTAATTCCTCAGTCCAAAGCCGGAAGAAGGGCTTGACGTACCTCGTCCATGATACCTGTCCCCGTGCGGACTGGCAGTTCCACCAGACGGTTCAGCCCTCGTCGGCGTGCTGGGCCTCCTATCGCCATGCGGACCGGACCCAACCGGCTCAAGAGGAGCCGTAGCATTGTAGCTCGTCCCGCCAAACGCAATTTCGGGGTCCGACAAGCCCCTGTGACCTCGTGTTCGAATCGCAACAGGGCTGCTGCTGCTCGTCCGCATCGCCGGTGTCAGCACACCCTCCACATCCTTCTCCTCTCTGGCAACTGACTGCTGCGTCTCCCTCTCGGCCCGGTTCTTCTTCTCCTGCGCCTCAACCTGCAGATCCAGCAGCGAGCTCTGCGCGACAGTGTACTTCCTTTTAAGCATGGCAAACTGCCGTTGCAGCTCCGCATGCTTCACCTGCAGGTTTTCCAGCGCCGTGCGGAATGCATCGTCCACCACGGCCTTTGCCTCCTTGCCGTGAGCCACCTGCTCTCTCTGCTTGGCCTCGAGCTCAGTGATCCTCTGCCTCAACTGCTCGATCTCCCTCTCGTATCCTTCCCTCTCACTCTTCAACTGCACCTCTCTAGCTGTGGCCTCCATCAACTTCTCCTCGGCCCGCGCCTCCGCACCAGCAGCCTCCTCCATGACGCCCTTCATCTGCGTCTCGAGACCCTGGTACCGTCTCTCGCTGGCCGCGAGGCGGGCAACCTCCTCTTTCAGCCGTCGAATCTCCTCCCCCCTCACCTCAAACGCCTCGCCATCCTGTTGCGCCCGGACCTGCTGCGTCTCCGCGTCCGCGACGAGCTTCCTAAGCTTCTCGCACTCCCCCCTCGCCTCCTCCAGCTCTCGTCTCAGGCGGCCCTCCTCCGCCGTCCAGCGCTTCTGCTCCTCCTTCAGGTGCTTCAGCTTGCCGCTCAGCTGCGCCTCCCACTTGGTCGCCATGTTGCGCCTGTTCTCGCTCTCCTTCTTGATCCGCGACTCGGCCTTCTTCGTCTCCGAAAGCTGGTGCTTGAGGCTGCGGTTGGCCATGATGAGGTTTTGGGTTTCTGCTTCCGTCGCGGCCTCGCGCAGCATCTTGCGCCGCAGCTCGCCGATGTGCGTCATGTGCTGCTGCTTCATGTACCGCTCGAAGTTGAGGTCGTTCTGGAGCAGGAGGTTCTGCCGCTGGAGCACGGCGATTTGGGTGTGCAGGTCCGCCACGGTGAGGGAGGTGGTGTTGTTGTTTTGCGGGCCTTGGAGCTGGAGATACTGCATCGTGCTGTCTGCGTTGCTGAGGGCTAGGGAGGGCACGCTTGCGTTGTCGAGGGATTGGTGGAGGCTGCTTCTTGCTTTGCTTGTGTTGGCTGTTTCTTGCAGGTGGGAATGTGAAGGGGAAGTGACCGTGTGGTGAGCTGGGAGGGTAGGGCTGTCTTCTGACTGGCGGGGTCCGGACATGGTTTCTAGAGAAGCGCGGGTGGATGGGTGGCTGGATTGCGATACTTTGCGAGCGAGGTCGGGGCCGGGGTGCGTGCTGCTGGCTTCGTTTGTTGACGACGAGGCGATGGAGGTGTGCCGCGGGTCGCTCGTTTTCAAATCTGGTGCGCTGCCAATGATCGAGCTGCTGCTGAGGATCGGGATGCCAAGGCCACTGTTGCTTTCGTCAGGTGGGGAGGCGATACCTGATAGTGAGGTGAGCTCCTCCTCTGGTTCCGCACCAATGGTTGTATCGGGCTCGGTGCACAGGTCAACACACTCCGTGATGACCTCGGACGCCTCGCTCTTCATCCACCTGCTGAAATCGGTCTTTTCCGACTCGATCGTAAGCTCGTACAGGTTGGGGTGGAGAAGATGAATGCGGCGGAAACGTTCTGATCTCTCGCGGATTTCGGATGCTTGGACGTCGATGTCATCCGTGTTGTTGGCGTGCCGGAGGTAACGCTGGGGCTTGCGGATGTAGTCGAGGAAATTTAGCGGGTAGAGGCCGTACAGGATGGAGAAGTACGTCTTGAAATGGTGGATGGTGTTGCCGTCGAGATCGTGGTCGAAGTGAATCTTGTCCCAGCTGGGGTCCATGCCTTTAGTCTCGTTGCCCCATTGGGAATGCTGCGCAGCAAAGGACCGTTCGCGGTCCCAGAACAGAAGCCGCGCATATATATTGAACAGGGTCGGAAGATACGGCACTAACGAGCTGGGCATGTGCGGCAGCAGCATGAACAGGTTGGCCAAGCTCATTGATACCGTTGTGGTTGAGTCATCGTACTGGAGCGACTTGAGGATGCTGTCGAACAGGGGCGTCTGCAAGACCAGATGCAGATGGGGCGGCTGGCTCTGTATGAAGTCGCTCAGCAGGTTGAGACATCGGTTACGATACTCTTTCCTGACAAAGTAGTTGTTCAATGCCGTCAGGAAGCTCTACAACATGGGTCAGCTTGGTGTTGCTCGTTACTCAGGGGCCGATTAATTGCTTGCCTTCGCATCCTTCTTGCCGAATGTCATGATGGCTTCCTCCATGAACCTCTCCTTGCTGTTGGTAGTGCTGCTCCCGGTAGCTGCCTGGTTCAGCGCGTTGAGCTGCATCCATCTCGACAGAAGCCGGTCGGCGAATGTATTCGGTCCGTCAGCCCGAGGCTTCACGTATCCATCTTCGTCGTACACGAGAAGTTGGAGAATGTTCTTCAGCGCTTCGTTTGCCAGGCCCTTCTCCTTGTTGAGATTATCCAGGATCGGGTCGATAAACCTATCCCACCACTGGACTATCCTCGCTGGTGACCGCAGAGCCGGCCGAACCTGCCTCAGGACGGCTAGAAAAGGGGCGATCTTGTTGGGCCGGCCGACGACGTGCTTATTGTATATGGACGTGAGTTCCTCCTGCAGCCGATCCGCGCCCGCCTCATCGTGTTTCTCATGCTTCTCGAGGTAGGCAGCTAGTACGTGGTTCAGATCGTCGGGGAGAGGCAGGACGGGAGACTGGATGAAGGCATTGATAGCCTTGGCGACGTCCTTCGTGGATCTAGACAGAAAATATGATCAGTCACTTGATATCACACCGCAAGAGGAGTCATGCATTTTGATGACATACGCTAGTGCTGCCATCTTCGACTCTCTTGGTCCTCCTGAAGAGCGCTACCGTACGGATCTGCTGGTGATGATTGCGGACTCTCCTCGCCGATCTGGGGAACAGGTTGGGAGTGAAAGGCCGTAAGAAAGCTCCTGTGAGTTTACAGGTTGGTGACCATAGCCTCAAAGAATCCAGCTAGCAGCAAAGCCTAGCAATCGCAGCTTCGGGGGGTTGTCGGGACGTTCTGGAGGCTGGAGTCATGCACGATCTGAATTGTAAGTCGTTTGATTGACGCATTTTCAAGGTAAGCGAAGGCTCACCGTAACTCACCGAGAGCTAAGGCATGGTATCGTCATTGACAAGGGGCCAGAGGGGCATGTGACCCAGCCAATGCTTGGCTGACAAGGGTCGCACATGCAACTGCGCTAAGGGCCCTCATAAGCCCACAGAAGCAAGCTAACCCCGCACTTTCACCCGCATCCACATTCGCTTTGTGCCCCGCTGTGGTGCACAAGCTCACGCCAGAGTGACCAGTTCCAGGGCTAAAGTGGCCAGAGGAGACCGCTGGAACGCGCCTTTCTCGGTTGGGGGCTTTGCAGGTCACGCTTAACGTGGGGTACCGACGATCAGCTCACGCAATGGGAATGGTGGCCGCAGGGTGCCCGCAACCAGGAGGGCAGCAGCAACAGGAATGGCGGGCGGTAGATGCCAGATGCCCTTGCCCTCCCTCGAGCTGACCTGGCTCTTTTAACCCCAACAAAGCTCTCCTTCTTGTGACTCGACCCCTCTTTGACTCTGAGCTTCATTCTTCCTTCTTCATCCTCCTCACACAAGACACGTCTACTGTAAACATCGTCACTTTTCCGTCTCGTCCTTGCCTCTTGTCTACCAATTGACTCCGTATTATCCAGTATCGGAGTTTACTCGCAGCACGTAACGTTAAGCAACTTCCCAATTCAACCACATTCAAGTCGTCAAGATGGCTGCAAAGGGGTCTGCAGTGGCGGACGAGCCTGTCGACATCTTGTTCGCCCTGCATCCTAACTTCAACCTCATGGACATGGCTGGTCCTCTCGAGGTCCTCGCCTCCGCCCTCCACGATGCCAAGGACAAGAGTAAGTCTATGTCGCAGAGCCTACCTTACATGGCTGCACCTTCTGCTCTCCCTCCCTCCCTCCCTACCTTACCTACCCCGCCCTTTAACCCCCAAAACGTCATACCGTACATTATAAACTCACATTGCCCCTGCTTCTCAGCATCCAAAGCCTTCGAGGTGACCATCGCCGGCGCCGAGCCCAAGATTGTCAGCGAGCAGGGTGTCGTCATTGGCTCTCAGATCTCCTTCAAGGAGGCCCACGAACGCCTCGGCGACTTCGACGTCCTCGTTGTCGTCGGCGGCAGCGTCGAGCCCGTCATCAAGGACAAGGCCGAACCTCTCGACCTCATCACAGCCTACTCGGAGCTGCAGAAGAGCGACCCTACCCACGAGCGCACCCTCCTCTCCATCTGCACTGGCTCG